TACGGTTCGGGATTGTTCAGAGTCACGTAATTTGGTTTTCATCCGACGGACCAGTTCCTACCTCAAATGACGAAGACGACACTGAGGATCTTACAGCTGATGATTTGATATCCTGCACTGTGTAAGTTTTACCAATGAACTTTGTTGCTTTTGTTATACCCGCATTGGATGAATGCTTGTGTTCCATTATCACAGCGCACAGTTCTACTGACAGCCCACAATACCTTACTAAATATAGTCTGTAAAAGGTTACAATTGCCCAAGGTAAATTCAATCTAACTGTTTTTTCTTTGTTGGACTCCACAGATGCGTAGAGAGGGCTCATCCATTGGCCGAAAGGTTAAATAAACAAATCAAAGAAGGAAAGATTCCCGAGGAAGGGCGACCCTAAAGGCCGGAACGGTGGAATGGCGGAATGGCGGAAAATGACCCCAAATCCTAAAGCACGGAACGGCGGAAAATGACCCCAAATCCTAAAACACGGAACGGCGGAAAATGATCCTCACTGTATTGGATTGGTTGGCTAGGGGATCTTTCACATATACCAAACGCCCCTGTGTGCTTCTTTTTCAACCGAAAAATGCTAATATTTTTTTTATAATTATTTTTAGGGTTGAGTCTGACGATGACGACTCTGAAACATTTGTGAACGGTTCTGAATCCCAGGATCACAGTGAAACTGCGTCTTTTTATCTTGGTGATAAACACATACCGGTTTATGCCTCAGAGATGAAGGAATTGTCAAACAGCGACATTGCACGGCTATTACTAGATCCTCCTGAAGATAAAGTCGCTTCGAAACCACCCGTAAAGTGTCAAGAAAACAAAATTTTCATCATTGATAAAAAAATCGCCGTATTTTCGAAACTCAGACGACTGGAGAGCAGATGGCCTTGGAGTCTACAAAAACGATGGAACTCATGTTGTTGCGTATTACGAGGACAAGAATCCGGAAATCCGCTGGATATCCACAACAAAACCAGAAGATTGCAAACGCTCTACAGTTCTTCTCAAGAGAACGTACTGGACGCACGTACAACATCCTGATTTCCGC